GTATAGAGTGTCTCACCTGGTGGTAGACAGTGATTACTACAAAGAGTATAGAGTGTCTCACCTGGTGGTAGACAGTGATAACTACAATGAGTATGCAGTCTCTCACATGGTTGTAGACATATATAATTACAAAGAGTATAGAGTGTCTCACCTGGTGGTAGACAGTGATTACGACAGAGAGTATGCAGTCTCTCACCTGGTTGTAGTCAGTGATAACTACAAAGAGTATAGTGTCTCACCTAGCTGTAGACAGTGATTACTACAGAGAGTATAGAGTATCTCACCTGATGGTAGATAGTGATAACTACAAAGAGTATAGAGTGTCTCACCTGGTTGTAGACAGTGATAACTACAAAGGGTATAGAGGGTCTCACCTGGTTGTAGACAGTGATAACTACAAAGAGTATAGAGTCTCTCACCTGGTGGTAGACTGTGATAACTACAAAGAGTATAGAGCGTCTCACCTGGTGGTAGACAGTGATTACTACAGAGAGTATAGAGTCTCTCACCTGGTTGTAGACAGTGATAACTACAAAGAGTATAGAGTGTCTCACCTGGTTGTAGACAGTGATAACTACAAAGAGTATGGAGTCTCTCACCTGGTTGTAGACAGTGATAACTACAAAGAGTATAGAGAGTCTCACCTGGTGGTAGACTGTGATAACTACAAAGAGTATAGAGTCTCTCACCTGGTTGCAGACAGTGATAACTACAAAGAGTATAGAGAGTCTCACCTGGTGGTAGACAGTGATTACGACAGAGAGTAAAGAGTCTCTCACCTGGTTGTCTACAGTGATAACTACAAAGAGTATTGAGTGTCTCACCTGGTGGTAGACAGTGATTACGACAGAGGGTATGGAGTCTCTCACCTGGTTGTCGACAGTGATAACTACAGAGAATATAGAGTGTTTCACCTATCTGTAGACATTGATAACTACAAAGAGTATAGAGCGTCTCACCTGGTGGTAGACTGTGATAACTAGAAAGAGTAAAGAGTCTCTCACCTGGTTGTAGACAGTGATAACTACAAAGAGTATAGAGTGTCTCACCTGGTGGTAGACTGTGATAACTACAGAGAGTATAGAGCGTCTCACCTAGCTGTAGTCAGTGATAACTACAAAGAGTATAGTGTCTCACCTGGTGGTAGACAGTGATTACTACAGAGAATATAGAGTGTCTCACCTAGCTGTAGACAGTGATTACTACAGAGAGTATAGAGTATCTCACCTGATGGTAGATAGTGATAACTACAAAGAGTATAGAGTGTCTCACCTGGTTGTAGACAGTGATAACTACAAAGGGTATAGAGGGTCTCACCTGGTTGTAGACAGTGATAACTACAAAGAGTATGGAGTCTCTCACCTGGTTGTAGACAGTGATAACTACAAAGAGTATAGAGTGTCTCACCTGGTGGTAGACAGTGATTACGACAGAGAGTATGCAGGAGTCTCACCTGGTTGTAGTCAGTGATAACTACAAAGAGTATAGAGCGTCTCACCTGGTTGTAGACAGTGATAACTACAAAGAGTATGGAGTCTCTCACCTGGTTGTAGACAGTGATAACTACAAAGAGTATAGAGAGTCTCACCTGGTGGTAGACAGTGATAACTACAAAGAGTATAGAGTGTCTCACCTAGCTGTAGACAGTGACAACTACAAAGAGTATATAGTGTCTCACCTGGTGGTAGACAGTGATTACTACAGAGAATATAGAGTGTCTCACCTGGTTGTAGACTGTGATAACTACAAAGAGTATAGAGAGTCTCACCTAGCTGTAGAAAGTGATAACTACAAAGAGTATAGAGTGTCTCATCTGGTGGTAGACTGTGATATCTACAAAGAGTATAGAGTCTCTCACCTGGTGGTAGACTGTGATAACTACAAAGCGTATAGAGTCTCTCACCTGGTTGTAGACAGTGATTACGACAGAGAGTATGGAGTCTCTCACCTGGTTGTAGACAGTGATTACTACAAAGAGTATAGAGTGTCTCACCTGGTTGTAGACAGTGATAACTACAATGAGTATGCAGTCTCTCACCTGGTTGTAGACAGTGATTACTACAAAGAGTATAGAGTGTCTCACCTGGTGGTAGACAGTGATTACTACAAAGAGTATAGAGTGTCTCACCTGGTGGTAGACAGTGATAACTACAATGAGTATGCAGTCTCTCACATGGTTGTAGACATATATAATTACAAAGAGTATAGAGTGTCTCACCTGGTGGTAGACAGTGATTACGACAGAGAGTATGCAGTCTCTCACCTGGTTGTAGTCAGTGATAACTACAAAGAGTATAGTGTCTCACCTAGCTGTAGACAGTGATTACTACAGAGAGTATAGAGTATCTCACCTGATGGTAGATAGTGATAACTTCAAAGAGTATAGAGTGTCTTACCTGGTTGTAGACAGTGATAACTACAAAGGGTATAGAGGGTCTCACATGGTTGTAGACAGTGATAACTACAAAGAGTATGGAGTCTCTCACCTGGTGGTAGACTGTGATAACTACAAAGAGTATAGAGCGTCTCACCTGGTGGTAGACAGTGATTACGACAGAGAGTATGCAGTCTCTCACCTGGTTGTAGACAGTGATAACTACAAAGAGTATAGAGCGTCTCACCTGGTTGTAGACAGTGATAACTACAAAGAGTATAGAGTGTCTCACCTGGTTGTAGACAGTGATAACTACAAAGAGTATAGAGAGTCTCACCTGGTGGTAGACTGTGATAACTACAAAGAGTATAGAGTCTCTCACCTGGTTGCAGACAGTGATAACTACAAAGAGTATAGAGAGTCTCACCTGGTGGTAGACAGTGATTACGACAGAGAGTAAAGAGTCTCTCACCTGGTTGTCGACAGTGATAACTACAGAGAATATAGAGTGTCTCACCTATCTGTAGACAGTGATAACTACAAAGAGTATAGAGCGTCTCACCTGGTGGTAGACTGTGATAACTAGAAAGAGTATAGAGTCTCTCACCTGGTTGTAGACAGTGATAACTACAAAGAGTATAGAGTGTCTCACCTGGTGGTAGACTGTGATAACTACAGAGAGTATAGAGCGTCTCACCTGGTTGTAGACAGTGATAACTACAAAGAGTAAAGAGTCTCTCACCTGGTTGTAGACAGTGATAACTACAAAGAGTATAGAGTGTCTCACCTGGTGGTAGACTGTGATAACTACAGAGAGTATAGAGCGTCTCACCTAGCTGTAGTCAGTGATAACTACAAAGAGTATAGTGTCTCACCTGGTGGTAGACAGTGATTACTACAGAGAATATAGAGTGTCTCACCTAGCTGTAGACAGTGATTACTACAGAGAGTATAGAGTATCTCACCTGATGGTAGATAGTGATAACTTCAAAGAGTATAGAGTGTCTTACCTGGTTGTAGACAGTGATAACTACAAAGGGTATAGAGGGTCTCACATGGTTGTAGACAGTGATAACTACAAAGAGTATGGAGTCTCTCACCTGGTGGTAGACTGTGATAACTACAAAGAGTATAGAGCGTCTCACCTGGTGGTAGACAGTGATTACGACAGAGAGTATGCAGTCTCTCACCTGGTTGTAGTCAGTGATAACTACAAAGAGTATAGAGCGTCTCACCTCGTTGTAGACAGTGATAACTACAAAGAGTATGGAGTCTCTCACCTGGTTGTAGACAGTGATAACTACAAAGAGTATAGAGAGTCTCACCTGGTGGCAGACTGTGATAACTTCAAAGAGTATAGAGTGTCTCACCTAGCTGTAGACAGTGACAACTACAAAGAGTATATAGTGTCTCACCTGGTGGTAGACAGTGATTACTACAGAGAATATAGAGTGTCTCACCTGGTTGTAGACTGTGATAACTACAAAGAGTATAGAGAGTCTCACCTAGCTGTAGAAAGTGATAACTACAAAGAGTATAGAGTGTCTCATCTGGTGGTAGACTGTGATATCTACAAAGAGTATAGAATGTCTCACCTGGTTGTAGACAGTGATAACTACAAAGAGTATAGAGTGTCTCATCTGGTGGTAGACTGTGATAACTACAAAGCGTATAGAGTCTCTCACCTGGTTGTAGACAGTAAATACGAGAGAGAGTATGGAGTCTCTCACCTGGTTGTAGACAGTGATTACTACAAAGAGTATAGAGTGTCTCACCTGGTTGTAGCCAGTGATAACTACAATGAGTATGCAGTCTCTCACCTGGTTGTAGACAGTGATTACTACAAAGAGTATAGAGTGTCTCACCTGGTGGTAGGCAGTGATTACTACAAAGAGTATAGAGTGTCTCACCTGGTGGTAGACAGTGATAACTACAATGAGTATGCAGTCTCTCACATGGTTGTAGACATATATAATTACAAAGAGTATAGAGTGTCTCACCTGGTGGTAGACAGTGATTACGACAGAGAGTATGCAGTCTCTCACCTGGTTGTAGTCAGTGATAACTACAAAGAGTATAGTGTCTCACCTGGTGGTAGACAGTGATTACTACAGAGAATATAGAGTGTCTCACCTAGCTTTAGACAGTGATTACTACAGAGAGTATAGAGTATCTCACCTGATGGTAGACAGTGATAACTTCAAAGAGTATAGAGTGTCTCACCTGGTTGTAGACAGTGATAACTACAAAGGGTATAGAGCGTCTCACCTGGTTGTAGACAGTGATAACTACAAAAAGTATGGAGTCTCTCACCTGGTTGTAGACAGTGATAACTACAAAAGAGTATAGAGCGTCTCACCTGGTGGTAGACAGTGATTACTACAGAGAATATAGAGTGTCTCACCTGGTTGTAGACAGTGATTACTACAGAGAATATAGAGTGTCTCACCTAGCTGTAGACAGTGATAACTACAGAGAATAGAGAGTGTCTCACCTTGCTGTAGACAGTGATTACGACAGAGAGTATAGAGTCTCTCACCTGGCTGTAGGCAGTGATTACAGGAGAGAGTATAACGTATCTCACCTGCTTGTAGACAGTGATTACGACAGAGAGTATGGAGAATCTCACCTGGCTGCAGGTAGTGACTGGTTGTCGTGGAAGGCAGGTAGTGACTGGTTGTCGTGGAAGGGGTAATGGCCGGAAGTTTCAAATGAACCCATAATAAGTAAACATCTACATTTGATACTTTTATACTTTATCCGATATTGTATGCATTCTTTATTTTGGGTCTCTTAGATTGTTCCTCTTTAGAGTTTTCACGAAAGCTGCATCCATGAAGTAAGAGATGTTTAAGGTAGGTGAACTGTGTATCTATAAGTGCAAGGTGTATAATTATATCGCGAAATGTACTAACGGGTGTACTTATGATGAGATAAGTCCCACGGGCTGTGTTGAGATGGGAGAGCTACACGGTGAGATAGGTCCCACGGGCTGTGTTGAGATGGGAGAGCTATACGGTGAGATAGGTCCCACGGGCTGTGTTGAGATGGGAGAGCTATACGGTGAGATAAGTCCCACGGGCTGTGTTGAGATGGGAGAGCTACACGGTTAGATAGGTCCCACGGGCTGTGTTGAGATGGGAGAGTTATACAGTGAGATAGGTCCCATGGGCTGTGTTGGGACGGGAGAGCTACACGGTGAGATAAGTCCCACGGGCTGTGTTGAGATGGGAGAGCTATACGGTGAGTTAGGTCCCACGGGCTGTGTTGAGATGGGAGAGTTATACGGTGAGATAAGTCCCACGGGCTGTGTTGAGATGGGAGAGTTATACGGTGAGATAAGTCCCACGGGCTGTGTTGAGATGGGAGAGCCATACGGTGAGATAAGTCCCACGGGCTGTGTTGAGATGGGAGAGCTACACGGTGAGATAGGTCATACATGCAGTCTGTAGTGTGTGGAGGTTTGAAGCCACTTAGAAAGTCTCATGTCGGTATATATGACCGTGTAATGTTTTTTGTTAATTCTTACCGTCCTGACATTTTCCACATGTCTTCATACATCGCTGCCGCTTGACCGGGTTCAGGCAGAGCTTTCTCTTCTTGATGACTTCACACGTGTCGTATTCAAGTTTGTCTTCACATCGACCCCTTTGTACTGAAATTACAAAACGCACTTGACATGTGTTGCAGCGTTACCTCACTGCTGAATCAGACTACTACTGCGTTATCTCACTGCTGAATCAGACTACTACAGCGTAACCTCACTGCTGAATCAGAGTACTACAGCGTTACCTCACTGCTGAATCAGACTACTACAGCGTTATCTCACTACTGAATCAGAGTACTACAGCGTTACCTCACTGCTGAATCAGAGTACTACAGCGTTACCTCACTACTGAATCAGACTACTACAGCGTTACCTCACTGCTGAATCAGAGTACTACTGCGTTATCTCACTGCTGAATCAGACTACTACAGCGTAACCTCACTGCTGAATCAGAGTACTACAGCGTTACCTCACTGCTGAATCAAACTACTACAGCGTAACCTCACTGCTGAATCAGAGTACTACAGCGTTACCTCACTTCTGAATCAGACTACTACAGCGTTATCTCACTACTGAATCAGAGTACTACAGCGTTATCTCACTGCTGAATCAGAGTACTACAGCGTTATCTCACTGCTGAATCAGAGTACTACTGCGTTATCTCACTGCTGAATCAGAATACAACAGTGGTATCTCACTGCTGAATCAGAGTTCTACAGCGGTGAGGATAAAGTGCACATGGTGACTGGAATTTCATTCGCCGTAGAGGATCAAATCCTGTTATGTCTCCCTGCTAGCATGGTTGCACTGACCCATATGCGTACATGTTCTGTGAACGCTCACCGAATGTGACACCATATCAAAACACTGATACATGGAATATGATGGGTATTGTCTCAACAGAAGCAATAAACACGTATCTGCTCTACAGGAGCTGAAGCCATAAATCCTTAACGTCCCTACTTGAGCTGAAATCCTAAACACTTATCTTCTCTACCTGAACAGAAGCCATAAACACTTATCGTCTCTACATAAAATAAAAATGGCCATTTATAAAGCGCCATTTTCCACACTTGCGCATGCTCAAAGCGCTAACACATTATTACCCCGGAAAACCCAAGCGGCCTGTTAGGCTGACTTATCCCACCTGGTACCCATTTTATGCTGGGTGAACAGAGGCAATTTTGAATAAACTCACTTGCCCAAAGTGACACCACATGTATCACATGTGCTTCATTGTGAGGCAGAACTGGCCAAACTGCCAAACACGGTCACACACACCCACCCACCCACCCCCACCCCCCCCCCCAAGGACCTCTCCGCGCCCATGGTTGCTTAACTTCAACTGATTTGTGACCTGAGCTCTATGTGAACAGAAGGCATAAACACTTACCACCCTTACCTGAATTGAATTCGAAAAGCACTTCCTGTCTCTATCGGATCATAACGCTTCCCATCTGTTAATGAACAGGCCATGAACACAACCTTCTCTGCATGAACAGGCCACGAACACAACCGTCCTTGCATGAACAGGCCACGAACACAACCTTCTCTGTATGAACAGATATAGTCTCTACCGGAACAGAAGCCACATCCTGAAAAGTCTTTACCTGGCTTGAAACGAAAAGTACTTGACTTCTTTGATTGACATCACATGCTTGACAACGACATCAGAATCTATGTCGAAACGTCGCCTATACAGAATAAAGAAGTTGCATATCCATAAAAATAGTCCTCGTAAATACTTACTGTCTCTTGCAGTACAGAAGCCGCACGTGCGTTTACACTTGTATTTCATTGTTCGTTTCGCATCCGACTGTGTAGATTCACATAAGCCCTCAATTGCCTTTGTGTCGCACGTCACAGGCACCAGAGAGTCAATACATTGCTTGGCATCTGGAAGGATAAACGTAGTGATAGCTGCTGGGCTCTGCAAGACTCAGATACAGATCCCTGCATTCAGGGTGTACAACTTCATTCACCACTGACACACAACAACAAGTTTAACTGGATGTGCGAGAGGGAGTCCGTACAAATATACTGAACCACAAAAGAAATGTCGCACCGATAGCGGTTTTTTAAAGCACACACTTTAATTCACTCTAATTAACAATCAAAATGGAGGATTGAGTTCAAACGTCTCAAATATGGTTAACACATTTCGGGAACCACATTTAGATTTCACACAAACAAAATCACCCAAAATGGTACTATTAAGATACCCCAAAGTCAGTATTGTGTATGCCCTCAATGGGCATGAATGAAAGCGTTGCATCGTCTGTACATGGAATGAATTAGCCGGTTGGGTCCATACTCTGTGAAATACCTGATCGAGTCCAGCCACAGTTGTCAGTCTTGGTTAGAGGTCATTCAGTCTTCTTTGAATCCCGTCCTAAAGGTGTTCTATTGGACTTAAATCCGGACTGAATGCAGGCTGTTGTAGGGTTTGGATGCCATGTTGTCTTAGGAAGTCCAATGTTGCTCTGGCAGTGTGAAGACGAGCTGTGTCTTGCTGGAAGATGTGATTTCTGTAACGTCCAACGTGTGGTACAACGTGGGGTCTTATGACTTGGTCAATATAGTGAGCAGTTGTCACGTCATTTCCTCATCCTGGACCGAGATTCTGGAACACCACGGTGCCAACTCTCTGGTTCAGGCCGATTGCACCAGACACTATGATGCTTGGACCACCCCACGAGTCTCTTTCAACAATACACTCATTGGAAAACAGTTCCCCACGCCTACACCATAATCTCACTCTGCCATCGGCTGTCGAAACACAACATCGGCTTTCATGAGAAAAAATGCACAGTTCTCCTTTGTCGATAACGCCAATTTCGAGGCTGAGTTGCCCATTGCAGTCGGTTTGGGTGGTGATGAGAGGTGAGGACAGGACTACGATATGGTCTGTGACAGCAGAAGTTTCTTCCGAGCAAACGTCAACCCACTGTATCGGCACTGATGGGTCTGTTGTGAGTCCCAATGGTCTGGCGTATTGTTTCCGTCGCTCTGGGGAAGCGATCCTGTAGATGGTGGCGCACAGTCTGTCGGTCTTGACGTCGTGATGTTACTGAAGTTCGCCCACTGCGTGGACGGTTTTGGATGCTGTTAGTGACCTGATACCACTCCTGTAGTCGGTAGTTTGTCCTAACATGAACATTAAAATGATTGGCTTCCATCCGTGCAGTCTAGCCAACTTGCAAGCGTCCCAAGGCTTGGTTCCTCTGATCTGTCGTAAGTCGTTCCAAGGCGATTGTGTCCAAAAATGATTTCAGACGAGTTTGGGACTCGCTTTCATTGGTAGGGTTGTTACGACATCCACGTGGATTTTCTTTTCACGAATGTCATACGGAACCTTTTTACCATGTGCGTTTGGTCGATATGCTTTTTCATCAGAAAACACACTGATGTTGGTTATAACTGTCAATTTCGATTGAAAAACATGTTAACAAAAGGATACAATCATTATAAAAACACCACTTTGTAAGAACAAAAGTCTTGCATATGGTTTTGAAAGGCGTCATTTCTTTTGTGGTTCCGTATAGAAACACAAAGTTTTACTGGATGTGAGAGAAAGCGGGTCAGTCATCATTGACACACATGGTTTAACTGGATGTAACAGACTGGGTCGGTCATTATAGACACACATGGTTTAACTGGATGTAACAGACTGGGTCGGTCATCATAGACACACATAGTTTAACTGGATGTAACAGACTGGGTCATCATAGACACACGGTTTTCATCAGATAGACACACATGGTTTTACTGGATGTAACAGACTGGGTCGGTCATCATAGACACACATGGTTTTACTGGATGTAACAGACTGGGTCGGTCATCATAGACACACATGGTTTAACCGGATGTAACAGACTGGGTCGGTCATCATAGACACACATGGTTTAACTGGATGTAACAGACTGGGTCGGTCATCATAGACACACATGGTTTTACTGGATGTAACAGACTGGGTCGGTCACCATAGACACACATGGTTTAACTGGATTTGAGGTCAAGTTGGTCACCATAGACACATATGGTTTTACTGGATTTGAGGTCAAGTCGGTCACCATAGACACACATGGTGTAAGTGGATTTGAGGTCAAGTCGGTCACCATAGACACACATGGTTTAACTGGATTTGAGGTCAAGTCGGACACCATAGACACACATGGTTTAACTGGATTTGAGGTCAAGTTGGTCACCATAGACAGACATGGTTTGACTGGATGTGAGGTCAAATCAGTCACCATAGACAGGCATGGTTTAACTGGATTTGAGGTTTTAGTGAACTAGGTTACTGTTTACTCTGTTTAAGTGAGTGATCCTACTAATACAGGCACAGCGAGTCCATCACGTGGTAGGAGGCAACACAAGTTAAGGGTCGAGACAGTCAAAGTCAGAGGGTAGGGCTCAACACAGTCAGAGGTCGACACAGTCACAGTCACAGTCCCCCTGACTAGATCGACACAGTCACAGTCTGATGGTAGGGGTCGTCACAGTCAGAGGGTAGGGCTCAACACAGTCAAAGGTCGACACAGTCACAGACAGGGGGTATGTTTGGACAGAGTCACAATCTGAGGGTAGGGTCAGAAACAATCACAGTCAGAGGGTAGGGATCGTCACAGTCAGAGGGAAGGGGCCGACACGTGTGAGGTCGACACAGTCACAGTCATACGGTAGGGGTCTTCACAGTCCCAGTCAGAGGGTAGGGATTGATACAGTCACAGTCAGAGGTCGACACAGTCACAGGCAGAGGTCGACACAGTCACAGTCAGAGAGTAGGGATTGATGCAGTCACAGTCAGAGGTTGGCACAGCCAAAGTCAGAGGGTAGGGATTGATGCAGTCACAGTCAGAGGTCGACACAGCCCCAGTCAGAGGGAAAGGATTGATACAATCACAGTCAGAGGTCGACACAGCCCCAGTCAGAGGGTAGAGGTTGACTCAGTCACAGTCTGAGAGTAGGGGTCGACCCAGTCACAGTCTGAGAGTAGGGGTTGATGCGGTCTGAGGGTCGGGGTTGATGCAGTCTGAGGGTAGGGTTGACACAGGCACAGTCAGAGGGTAGGGTTGACACAGTCATAGTCAGAGGGTAGGGTTGACACAGTTACAGTCAGAGGGCAGGGTTGACACAGTCAGAGGATAGGGTTGACACAGTCAGAGGGTAGGGTTGACACAGTTACAGTCAAAGGGTAGGCTTGACACAGTTACACTTAGAGGGTAGGGTTGACACAGCCACAGTGAGAAGGTAGGGCTGACACAGTCAGAGTCAGAGGGTAGGGTTGACACAGTTACAGTCAGAGGGCAGGGTTGACACAGTCAGAGGATAGGGTTGACACAGTCATAGTCAGAGGGTAGGGTTGACACAGTTACAGTCAAAGGGTAGGGTTGACACAGTTACAGTCAGAGGGTAGGGTTGACACAGTCATAGTCAGAGGGTAGGATTGACACAGTTACAGTCAGAGGGTAGGGTTGACACAGTCATAGTCAGAGGGTAGGGTTGACACAGTTACAGTCAGAGGGTAGGGTTGACACAGTCATAGTCAGAGGGTAGGGTTGACACAGTTACAGTCAGAGGGTAGGCTTGACACAGTTACAGTCAGAGGGTAGGCTTGACACAGTCATAGTCAGAGGGTAGGGATTATTACAGTCAAATGGTAGAGTTGACACAATCAGAGGGTAGGGATAACATAGTCACAGTCAGAAGGTAGGGTTGACACAGTCATAATCAGAAGTTATGGTTTACATAGACACATTCGGGAGGCAGGGTTGACACAGTGAGAGGGTAGGGTTGACACAGTGAGAGGGTAGGGTTGACACAGTGAGAGGGTGGACTTGACACAGTCACAGTCAGAAGGTAGGGTTGACACAGTCATAGTCAGAAGGTATGGTTGAAACCGTAACAGTCCCAGGGTAGGGTGGACAGAGACAAATTCAGGAGGCAGGGTTGAAACAGTCACAGTGAGAGGGTAGGGTTGACACAGTCACAGTGAGAGGGTAGGGTTGACACAGTCACAGTGAGAGGGTAGGGTTGACACAGTCACAGTGAGAGGGTAGGGTTGATATAGTCAGTCAGAAGGTAGAGGTGGCACAGTCACAGTGAGGGGGTAGGGTTGATATAGTCAGTCAGAAGGTAGGGTTGAAACAGTCACAGTGAGGGGGTAGGGTTGATATAGTCAGTCAGAAGGTAGGGGTGGCACAGTCACAATGAGAGGGTAAGGTTGATAAAATCAATCAGCAAGGTAGGGTTGAAACAGTCACAGTGAGGGGGTAGGGTTGATATAGTCAGTCAGAAGGTAGGGGTGGCACAGTTACAATCCGGTGGTAGGGCTGAAACAGTCATAGTGTGAGGGTAGGGTTGATATAGTCAGTCAGAAGGTAGGGGTGGCACAGTTACAGTGAGAGGGTAGGGTTGATATAGTCAGTCAGAAGGTAGAGCTGAAACAGTCATAGTGTGAGGGTAAGAGTCGACACAGTTACAGTCAGAAGGTAGGGCTGAAACAGTCATAGTGTGAGGGTAAGAGTCAGAAACAGTCATAGTGTGAGGGTAAGAGGGTAAGAGTCGAAACACACAGTTACAGTCAGAAGGTAGGGGCTGAAACAGTCATAGTGTGAGGGTAAGAGTCGACACAGTTACAGTCAGAAGGTAGGGCTGATACAGTCAGAAGGTAGAGCTGAAACAGTCATAGTGTGAGGGTAAGAGTCGACACAGTTACAGTCAGAAGGTAGGGCTGAAACAGTCATAGTGTGAGGGTAAGAGTCGACACAGTTACAGTCAGAAGGTAGGGCTGAAACAGTCATAGTGTGAGGGTAAGAGTCGACACAGTTACAGTCAGAAGGTAGGGCTGAAACAGTCATAGTGTGAGGGTA